CTCTCTCTCTCTCTCTCTCTCTCCCCTCCACCCGCTTCCCCGCTCTCTCTCCCTCACACACACACACACACAACACAAACACACACACACACAGTGTCACACATAGATACACGTGTAAACGTGGCAGTGCACAGTTTTCAATTTGTTGCGTGATTGCGTCTGTGTATGAGCAAACATGTATGCTTTTCTCTTTGCTCTTTTCCTCAAAACGACTGTGTGTGTGTGTGTGTGTGTGTGTCCAGTTGCATGCCCAATTAAACTCTACGTTTGGAAGGGTTCATGTTTCATACATTTGGAAAAAAAAAAAAAAAAAAAAAAGATGGATCAAAAAGGGGGATGGAAATGTTTCTCAGGTTAAACCGTTAAACATTCCTTGCGAGCGTGGTGTATATATCATCAAACAGAACTGCTGCCTGGTACAACGTAGGCAGAGAGGGAGGGAGAGAAGAGGACAGCAAATGAGGGGCTGTTTCTTTGGAGTTTTGCCGACTCGTCAGGAGTCCCCCTTGTTTGTTGTCCTCTTCTCCCTCTCCCTCCCTCTCCCTCCCTCTCTGCCTACGGTTTACCGGGGCCAAGTCCCACTAGCAGCGTTGAGCTACCTCAACGCCTGTATCTGGACGCTTTTGCGGAGATGTGCAGAAATGCTGTTGAGTTTCCTGAACTGCACGTCTCCACAAACACGTCCAGATTCAGGCATTGACGTAGCTCAACGCTGCTAGTGGGACTTGGCCCCCGTAGGCAGCTCTGTTTGACGATCTCTCTATACTGAAAATATTATTGTGTCCCCGCGTCAAACGCGGTATAACAGTTGAAGAAGTGGGCGTGGTTCGTTCGCATTTGAATTGCAGCCTGAGGTTTGTCGTGCCTTGTTACAGTACCGGTCGTCTAGCGGCGGTTGGAGAATCATCGTCGCGGCATCGTAATTGTCATCGGATCCAGTGAAGGAGATGGTTGCGGTTTTCTAATTTCTAAGCCCGTACTTGCACGAGGATTGTTTGGATGGAAGATGCCCATAATTACGGTCAGATTCATCCTGAAGAAGAGTTCTGATTTTAGTATTCTTAACGGTCAGATTCATCCTGAAGAAGAGTTCTGATTTTATTTAGTATTCTTAACGGTCAGATTCATCCTGAAGAAGACTTCTGATTTTAGTATTCCTAAGGGTACTGCAGCCACCACAGTATTGAAGTTGCACGTATTCCATTTTTGCTCCCGCTGTGGCTGTGGCAGTGGCAGGGACAGAGATAGATACCCTCATTTTTGTTCCCACTGTGGCTGTGGCTGTGGCAATGACGGGCTCATCCCCAGGAGGAAGTGAGAAGAAGATGGTGGCTGGCACAACAGCCAATATCGCGCAGGATGCCACCGGGGCTGTTGTTTCTGACATAGATGAGGACACAGGGAGCGCAGTCATACCAGTTCCCGACACAGTTGTGATCTTCGACTTTGACTGGACAATGATCGATGGCAACAGTGATACATTTGTTGTGAAACAGCTTGGGGCTAAGGATGTGCTGGAGGAGAGGGATAAGTTTGGGTGGACACAGCTTATGGACATGGCAATGAAGGTTTTACGTGCGCGGGGAAAGACAATAGAGGACATTCGAACCTGTCTGAGAAGGATTGAAGTAAAGCCAGCCATGTCTCGTTCTATTCGAAAAATGGCGGCAACACCAGGGTTTGAGATCCACATTGTCAGCGATGCCAACTCCATGTTTATCTCATGTGTATTGGAGGCCGCTGGGCTGAGCGATTGCATATCAGCAGTGCATACAAATCCAGCACACGTGGATGAAGCGGGAGTCCTAAGGGTGGAGCCATATCAGCCTGTGGACAATCCCCACAGCTGTAGCATCTGCCCTTCCAATATGTGTAAGGGGCTGATTGTTGCAGGCATTCGCGAAAACAGATGTGCGAAGGATGGCCGGATTATTTACCTAGGGGATGGCAAAGGAGACCTATGCCCATGCTTGAGGCTCCATGAAGGTGATGCAATATTCGCACGAAAGGGGAAATTTCCCCTCCTTCAACTACTGCGGGAGGAGGAGGGACGTGGTGGCTTGAAGGCAAAGCTGATATCCTGGGCGTCGGCGGATGATGTAGAGTTAGGGCTAGGCTTGCTTCTTGGCTGGGATAAGTAGGCAATTAAGAAAGGGAAGGAGGAGGGGGGG